TCAGCTCCTAAATTCTTGATTTCTTCTCTTTAGTTTGTCTTCGCAACACTCTCCTGCATTGTTCAGTCTCTTCTGTTCAGAGTCTCTTCTGACATCCATCTCAGTATTTTCTTCCTCTTTTGTCTTTGTAATGACCTTTTGCATTCATCATGGATAATATTCTTGATATCCTCCCCACAATTCATCTGTCATTTACACATTAGTGTTCAAAGCCTCAAATCCATTCCTGAGATGATTTTTTTTAAATTTAGGTGGAATAGACTCATCATCAGAGTTTGGGTCTTGTGGATTATTGTTCCTTTTTGGCTTTTGTAGTTGGTATGTATGTTTTAGTTAATTATTGTAGTAGTGGGTTTCCCTGTATGCTTGTGGGTATTGTCCTATCACTGACAACATTATACTTGAGGATAGGTCTTGAAATGGTCTTTTGATGATGAACAAAACAGCCTTCCTATTCAGTCTGTCACTCCCGGCGTAGTGGACAATATGATTGTGATATTCAGAATGAACAATTCCAGTCCATTTTGGTTCATTAATGGCTAGGATCAAAATGTCTTTATGGATTCTACTTACTTTTTAAAAATTTCTAACTTTCCTAGATTCATAGCTTTGTACATTCCATGTTTTGGTAATTAATGGATGTTTACAACTGTTGCTCTTAATTTTGAATCACCCCCAACAGCAAATAAAGGTCCTACATTTGCTTGAAAGCTTTATTCGTTCTCATCATTAAAATAAGTTTTACTTGCGGAGGCATCCCTTTCCCAGTCATATTTTTTAGTGCCTTCCCACTGGAGGATCTTCTCTTCCAGTACTATTTTCAGATAGTGTTGTTGCTATTTGTAGCATTTCAGTAGCCCATTATTTCAGAAGTAAATGGCTAGTCTTGAATCCTGGTCTGCTTCTGGAAGCTCAGCAGAAACCTGTTCAAATATCCTGCAGATATTTGAAGTTGTTCCACCATAACTTCGAGCATCATACAGTCCAGTTAAGTGACATGATTTTGAATGTCATCTGCCAAAAGAGTCAAAAAGAATCGTCATAGATATTTTAGAGTGAAACTTTTCATTGAATGCTTAATTGAATGAGTTCTTTTGTCTCTTTAAGTTCAAAGATTGGAATGAGAAAAGCTATATTGATTATATTACTCTACATCTGTCAGTGTGTTGTTGTTGTCTACTGCTGAGTTAGAACCAAGTCATAACTGACCCTCCAGTGGGTGTTCAGAGGCTGTAAAATACACAGAGATTGCCCAGCTTCTCCTGTGGACGAGCTGGTGACCTCAAACTGTCTTTGTGTTGGCACCTCAACTCCTTACCGCTAAGTCACCAGACCCACCTTGTCAGTATGTTACGAATGGTGAATTATTCTCTTCTGGCGTTTTCTTGTGGGTGTTTGTTTTGTTGCCATCGTTATATGTTCATTTGTTTTTTTCTTTCCTAGGAGTGGAAAGAACGCTATGGACACAATAGAGAAGATTCCACTAGGAACAGGAATGTTCATGCCAACCCAAAAGAGTCTGACTTCTCTGATGTTAGTAACAACCGGTGTAAGTAATTTGTTTTCTATTTCTCACAGATTTGGTTGCTTAATTGGTTTACACTTGCTTGTGTAAACACTGAGCCTGAGGATAGAAACTGAAACCTCTCATCATCAGGTCCATTCCAGCTCACAGAAACCCTGTAGAATAGAAGAGAACGACTCGCTGATACTTCCGGGGTTATAATACTTAAGGGAGATGACTGCCACATCTTTCCATCTTCTCCCAGGGAGCAGCTTAGTGGGCTCAAACCACCCCTCTCTGAGCTAGTAGCTAAATCCTTAATCACAGGACTCCTTAAGGATCAAGATACCCATTCAGAAAAATCTTTATAGAGTGATAAGTGTACTTTTGTAGTGACTTTTCTTTCTTATATCCTTCAATGTTTAGAAAGAAGGAAAAACTCTAGCATGTACTGTGTAGAGAAGGAGAACTGGGCATCAGATGATGGTCATAGGTATCCAAACCTAAGTAATAGCAGCAACAGTTATCAGGCTGTTCTCAGCAGAGGCTTATTTCTACTATTTCCTCAGATTTTTTTCCCTCTCACTTTTTAATCAGTGTATTTGTGTGTTTTGTATTGTGTACCATTGAGTTGGAGCCAACTTATAGCTGCCCCTCCAGTGAGTTTTCTGAGGCTATAAATTGTATGGGAGGAGACAGTCTATCTTTTTTTCTCTAGTGAATTCAAACCATATGCTGTTGGGTTGGCAATGTAATTCGTTACCACTAGCACATCAGAGCTCCCTTTTTTTATAAGTTGTTGTTGTTTTATGCCTTTGAGTCGCCTGCAACTCATAGCAACCCTACGTATAACAGCCCTAAACTCTGCTCTGTCCTGTGCCAGTCTCACTATCTCTGACACACCTACCCCCGTTACCCCAGTCACTGAATCAATCCACCTCATAGTCTTCCTCTCCTGCGCTGTCCCTTCACCCTCCCAAGAATGATGTCCCTCTCGAAGGACTGGTCCCTCCTTGCAACATGTCCAAAGTATGTCAGACGAAGCTTCAGAATCCTTGCCTCCAAGTAACAGCCTGGCTTCACCCTCTCCAGGACAAACCTGTTTGTTTTCTTAGCAGTATATTCAGTACTCTTCTCCCACACTACAGCTCAAAGGCATCAATTCTTCTGTCATCCCTATCCATTGTCCAGCTTTCTGATGTATAGCAAGTGATTGCAAAGACCATGGCATGAATCAGGTGCACCTTAGTCTCCAGACTGACATCATTGCACTTCAGTACTTTAGAGAAGTCTCTTAACTGCAGGTTTTCCCATCTCAATACATCTTTTCATTTCCTGGCTGCTGGTGCCAAGAATGTTGACTATAGAGCCAAGCACACCAAAATGGTGAACAATCTCATCTTTTCACCATCAATCATGACACTGCCAACTGGCCCATTGGAGAGAATCTTTGTTTTCTTAATACTGAGCCTCAATCCATACTGAACACTGCAGTCCCTGACCTTTCACCACCAGTGCTTTAGGTCCTCCTCAGTTAGTAGATGTGTGATATTCAACAGTTTCTGTACAACTTACTGTTTTTACATGATGACAGTATTTTCCCAGGTATTTCCTTTCTGTCATGGTACTTATATGTTAGTGAAGTACTGACCACAGGCAGGAGTCGTCTGTCACTTGATGTGGGTTAGGAGGCCTCCTGATGTCCTTTGCCCTGCAGGGACATAAGGTAGAAGCCAGTTACTACTGGTGATATTACAAGAAAATTAATGAGTAATCCTCAGTTTTGAAGGAAGTTCTGTTGATGAGACATAAATAGATATAATTAAGTTTTCACTGTTGACTTTTACTATCAATATCTTTGTAAATCAAATAGTTACTTGTCTTTGGAGATTAGAAACATCACATATAAATGTGGGTGTTTTGTGCATAATGCAATCCTATGAAGATAAAACCATATCTCAAACAGTAAACATTATACAAATTTGATAATTAAGAAAGAAGTGCTAGATTACATTGGCATTTTGTCATATATGACAATAACTGCGTTTGTGGGAACGTTCTGGACCCCCTGGATTATTTTGGGGAATGAGGGTGGCATTTCTAGTCAGAAATGAGCGAGTGCTGTCTGTCTGATTCTTCTTCCTTTTTTTCTTTCCATATATTTTGCAATGAAACCTCACTGCTCAAATCTTCCTATCAACTTTAGCAAAGTGCTCAGTTTTTGGGTCAGTGTTTTCAAGCAACTGAAACACCTGATTTACTTTAGGAAATCAAATCTATGGGGCAATGTATTGAACAATAAATCATATAATTGAATATTTGTGAGTGAAATCTAAGGAAAAAGCATTTGCATGCTGTCGTTGTTGTTGTGTACCATTGAATTGGAACCGAACCATAGCTAATCCTTTTGGCTGGTTGTCAGAGGCATTTAATCGTACGGGAGGAGATTACCCATCCTTCTCCTGTGGAGCAGCTGGTGGACAGCTTCTTGCCACTAGGCCACAAAAGCAAAAACATCAGACTTGTAATGTAAATATATATTAAGCCAAGAACTGCCTATATTTTCACAAAAAAAAAGTTACTTGGAGCCCTTTCTGTGAAAATGGCGCCGAAAATGAAGAAGGAAACCCCTGCCCCTCCCAAAACTGAAGCCAAAGCAAAGTTAAAGGCCAAGAAGATAGTCTTGAAGGGCATTCACAGCCACATAAAAAAAGATCTGCACATCAACCACCTTCTGGCGGCCTAAGACGCTAAGACTCCAAAAGCAACCCAAATACCCCCTGGAAGAGCACCTCCAAGAGAAACAAGTTTCCCCTGACCCCTGAGTCAGCCATGAAGAAGAGAGAAGATAACGACACACTTGTATTCACTGTGGATGTCAAGGCCAACAAGCACCAAATAAACAAACTGTAAAGAAGCTCCATGACACTGATGTGGCCAAGGTCAGCACTTGATTAGGCCTAATGGAGAGAAGGCCTATGTTCGACTTGCTCCTGACTATGATGCTTTGGATGTTGCCAACAAAATTGGGATCATCTAAACTGAGTCCAGCTGGCTAATTCTAAATACAAATTTTCCTCACCAAAAAATAAATAAAAATGTTGCTTGGCTTTGGGGAAACGCAGGATTAAGCATTAAGAGAGCCCTTTTTATTCTCCAAGTCCAGCTCTTTGCACTTTCCTTTATAATATTCTGTGTTCTCCCCCTGTCCTCTCAAATCTTCTGTTCAGCTCTTTTACTTTAGTATTGCTTTCCTTTGTTTGGCTTCAGAGGCTCTAGAGGAATTTTTAACAATTAAAAAAAAAAACCCTCCAGTCCCAAATGTTGGCTTTACCAGGCAGGGACTGTACAGTAACTGATTAATATATTTAATAATCTAAGAGAGCTCTGGTGGCCTCGTGAATAGAAGCAGCACTGCAATCCCAAAGGCACATGGTTCAAATCTACCAGCTGCTCCACAGGAGAAGTGTGGGCACTCTCCTATGCCATTTCCTCCCTCTGAACACCCACTTAGAGGGTCAGCTGTGAGTAATTTCCAACTCTGCAGCACAAAACAACAGAAAGAAGAGTATTGAATGGTCTGCCAAAAGAACAAACAAATCTGTCTTGGAGGAAGTAAAACCAAGGCACTTCTTAGAGGTGAGGATGATGAGACTTAATCTCACATATTTCAGCCACGTTGTCAGGAGGTTCCAGTCCTTGAAAAAAAGGTATCATGCTTAGAAAAGTAAATGGTTGGCAAAAGAGAGAGAGAGACAACTCAACAAGATGGATTGACACAGCAACTGCAACAATGGGCTATAGGATGTTCAGGCTAAGGCAAGGTTTGGTCTGTTATTCATTGGGGGCTTGTAAGTTGGGAGTTGACGCCGTAGCACCCAACACCAATTTTAATCCCGTTTCTAAGGGAATTACATATATATTCATCTTCTTAATAAAAGTTGCAATATTTTTTTTTCCTTTGTGTCAGTCTGTAACATATATTAATATTGAATAAGAAAGTTTTTGGTGGTGGTGGTGGTGTGTGCCATCGAATCACCTGTGACTCATAATGACCCTGTGTACATTAGCTCTGAATTCTTCCCTGTCGTGAGTCAGTCTCATTCACTCTGACACACCTACCCACATTATCTCAGATACTGTATTAATCCTTCTCATTCAGAATCTTCCTCTCCTGTACTGTCCCTCCACCCTTTCAAGCATGACATCCTTCTCCAAGAACTAGCCCTTCCTGGCCATGTGCCCCAAGCATGTGAGATAGCTTCAAAATCTTTGCCTCCAAGGAGAAATTTGGTTTCCCCCCTCCCGACTCTAAGACAGACCTTTTTGTTCTCTTGGTAGTCCATGGTATGTTCAAGACTCTTCTCCAGTACCTGGAGAACCCAACTCAAAGGCTTCAATTCTTCTTCTGTCACCCTTAGTCATTGTCCAGCTTTATGATGCATAGCAAGTAATTTGGAAGACCATGGCCTGGATCAGGCACCTTAGTCTCTAAAACTGACATCGTTGGTTTTTAGCACTTTGGAGAGGTTCCTGACAGCAGTTGAGACACTCTTTTTTCCTTTCCTTTTGCAGCTGCATCCAAATATACCAGGGCTAATAGTAGGACTGAAAGAGACCGGATAGAACTCCTCCAAGATGCAGAGCCATTGGATTTCAATGCCGAAACGTTCACTGATGATCCTCTTGAGGCTGAGTCAGGAAGGTAAGATAAGAAAATGTTCATCTCTATTAATAACAAGAAGCAAATTAAGCAACTTTTGATTACTTCTTATACTTTTTAGTGCTTTATTGTTTAACGTAAGCATTCAGTGGAAATTGAAATTGACACTTTCATACACTACAGTAGTAGTGTATATAAATGAGAAAGAAGACTTGAAATAGTAGCAGGAACCTCAACAACATTTTTGTGCTGATCTCTGACAGTCTCAAATAAGAAACGTCTTTTACAACAGATACAAAGCTTTTTCTGGGTATTAGGTCCTATTCTAAGTACTTTAAAAAGAATGTCATATGTTATGACTGTAAGTACAATTATATATTAATTACAGAAATGCTAAGTAACTAGGCCTAAATCACAGCTTGTAAACTCAAAAAGTTCAAGCACTAGCAGGCTGTCTCTAGTCTGTTTTAATCATGCTGTGAGGAGGCCGTGGTACCTAGTTGGAATGGTTATTAAATAAACTTTTTGTGCATCTTTTGCATTTTGCATTCTTCACTCTGTTATGTATATATTAATTTCTAATTAAAGAAATCTTTTTGAGATAAGATCCCAGAGGATCTGAATAGATTTCACAGGACTGTCATTGAGTTGATTTTTGGGCTTTTCTTATTCTGCTCACAATGCCTCATAATGTTTCTTCCTGTTTACTTTACAGGTATCAACATGCTGGACGCTATCTCTCCATGTCTCGTGGTACAATGTTTGATGATGTCTAAAGACAAGACATCTGCCAAAAGGAATTCGTGGAACAACTAGCTGAGTTCACCACAGTAGTTCGGTCCTTTTGAACGTCTGTATGCCCTAGAATTACTCTCTGCTCTGGGTGAAAAGTGTCAGAATAGCAAAAAAGGCATGGAGAATTCACTACATCTTAGTAATAATAGTTTATCTGTTGTTTATTGGATAGAGTATCATCTTTCCTAATAGAATTTTTTCTATACCATACCTTAAGTCTCTGCCTTTGAAGTACAGTTACCTTGGAAGGATTTAAGTCATGATAAAGATGTTAAGGACATGCCGTCTTACTTGGTCTGGGTTAGTTGGGGGTTTGGGTTTATTTTCCAGGGCAGCCTGTTTTTCCCCAAGATCCAAGAAAACTATAAATCATAACTACGGTATTATCATGATTTACATTTTGTGCTATTTCTAAAAGATGTTAAGACTCAATTTCCCAGAGATAAAAGTGAATAAAGACCTCAACTAATAATGATCTTCACAAAACCCAGGTTTTAAAACAAAGCTTATATCAGTCACATAAATGTCGAAAGCTCTTTTTTTACTCTTTATGCAAATTATTGGGGGTTTTGCATGTATAGTTAAAATTATCCTTCAATTGCTAGTATTAGTATCTTTAGCATGTGTGGAATAATCAGGTGATAAATTCTTTCAGTGTTTGGTTGTAACTGGAAGTTTTTGTATGCTTTTGGTATTACTTTGTAAAGATTTTTATTTCAAAGAAAAATGTTCACATTTATTATTTAACATATTAAGTATTGTTCATTCCATTCAAGGAGAAGCCATTATTGAGAAATAGTTCATTTCAGTTTTGTTGCGGTTTTTGGGGTTTCTTTAAATAGCCAAAGAATCCTACCAAGTTCCCCAATTTTTAAAGTTGCCTGTTTTTCACATAAGAATATCTGATTACACAAAGGAGAAGAGTGAATGCATTTAGTACTGTCACTAACATTTAATTTGTGGTTTTGTATAAACTAGAAAACTAAATTAGAATGGAAATGTGTTAAAATAACTTGTTGGTTACACATGCTCATTATTTGAAGTGTTTTGGATTTTTTAAAATCTTTGTGTTTAAGCCAAAGTCAAGCATTAATAATTAATAATGTTCAAGCCCCAGTGCTTTACTGCAGAGGTGTTCTGGTGACCTCATCTGTAGGAAGTTATGCTTCTTACTCAAAACTGGCACCTCTCTGGCAATTTGAATCTTTCAGCAGCTACTCACGAGCAGTATGGGCAGTCTGCTTTCCCCTGCCATTTACAGCCTGAAACCCAAGGTCAGCCGTGAGTCAGTTACGATTCAGTGCAATGAATTTTGAGCTTGAGTGGTTTATTGCACAGAGAGCATGGTTGAGTACAGCGTACTGGCAGAGCATCTGTACACCTGAGACAGTTGCAGATTTTTAGGAACCATAAGGTGTCAGTGACCACATCTATGCTTGCTCAAGTCAGTCACAGTTGAACACCTCTTATGCTACGTAATTATTACTAGTACTCATGTTCACTCTCAACTGTCCAAATTTAGAAATAAGCTATATGGTAACCTTAATGATAATATAGTTGCATTTCTTAAAGGTAATTAGGCCTTCTCTGAATCATATATTTGAAATTTTTCTTTTCCTCTTTAATTGGTATCATAATACAATATTTTTTAAGACAGTTCTGTAGGGATACTGAACGGGAGTATGATCCTTCTTACCTGATTTTCTTCAGTTGTTAATAGTCTTTGAGATTTAAATCTGTTTAAAATAGCTTTCCCTGAAGATATACAGAGTCCAAGGTCATAGCGACTTGGTGTGAACAATCATGTGGGCAGTCATGTGTGCACACCCCCACATACACGCCTTGCGCTTTAAAGTATGGACATGGCAGTAGGCCAAGAGCAGCATTTAATACCCTTTGTAACCACATCATTGACTCCTTGGATGCCTTGGGCAAGTGACAGAACCATTCAGTGCCTCACTTTCTTCATTTGCAAGATGCAGATGAAATTTGCCATCTACTTACAGATCTACCTCACAAAGGTGTTGTGAGGGTGTTGAGGGCCATGTATATATACTGGAGTTGAAAAAGAGGAAGAAAAAGAACAAAAGATAAGCCAGTAGTCATGGCACTTGAAATGGTATTTGAAGTACTCAGTACTTCAAGGTGATTGATGTAGAAATGATCGATCATTCCAGAAAGGGTCTGGTTCCTTCTAATTACAAAGAATCCTGCAAGTCACCAGAGCAAAAGCTCTGTTTGATGAGAATTCATCAAAAGGCCTTTGAAAAGGCATTTCTCACAAGGCTTTGTCATAATATCCAGGCGCTGTTAACGAAGCAGAAACAGGAAAAGACTATTCAGTTACATTTATGATACTTTGATAAGACAAATTGACATGAATGTGTAATGGGACATGACTCCTTGATTTTTTTTATTACGGTAATTGAAGTATGTATATACTTCAGGTAATATAGATCCTTCCATGACTTTCAGATCATTTCCAATGTAATTTTCAGTTGTTTCAGTGTTCTCAAGTACTGAGCCTTTAAGCCGAGTTTGTCTACAGGATTGTATACACACATCATTCCCTAATAGCAGATTGCCCTTGGGGAGTTCACTGTCCATCTTTAGTTAATAGTAAGTTTGGTTTAGAAGGCAATGTTTAACCCCCAAAACAGCTTATTGCTATAAAACTGAGTTAAAATTTATTAAACCTCCTTGTATCAAAACCCCCCAAAATTTTGTCATAGGTACAAAGAGGTTTCTGGTTTGAAAGCCTTTTTAATATCTAATTAAATTTATTGCAAAATGTTACTAAATCTAAATTCATGTACTTTATATGCAAATTATGGAAATATTTCTGGCACTTTTTGATGTCTTCTTTAAAAAAAAATCTAATCATAACCGATTAAAGTTTTCTAAGTAACTTTTTAAATAATTGTTAAGAATACCCAGTAAGCTTGTTAATTCACATTAACCAATGAAGAAAGTAATAATTGATGTTGTGCTTTCACTTGTGAATTACTGATTAACAGTTTTACAATTAATAGCTTGTTATTATCAGTAGGCCACTTTTTAAGAAATATTCAAACTATATAAAATATAGGCTTAAATTATTTTGATTGACTCTCTTACCAACAGAATTCAAGGGCCTTAGAATAGAGTCTTATCATACAGGTGGCCCTCACTTCACAGAAATGCTAAGAACAAAAACCAAAACATTCGAGAGCTGTGCCTTTCTAAACAAACTCAGACTCACTTGGTTCTGAGTCTGAACCAGCTTACCCGTAGCTGACCATCTCTTGGGTTTCCAAGGCTGTAAATCACCCGGAAGCAGATGGCCTGTATTTCTCTTGTGAAGTCATTGGTAGATTCAGAACACCAGAGAGGTGCAGGCTTCGTGTTAGCAGTGAAGCTTCCTACAGAGAATTTGCTGGTCCTGAGCTTTAGACCGCCACCAGTAGTTTATTATTGGATCATATGTAGTCATCTCATTATAAACTGGCTCTTTATCCAAATTAAATGCAGATGGGGAAATAATTTCTTTTCTACTCTAGTAGCATTTTTATAAAGAAATTTCATTTATTTGCAATAGCAAACCCAATTTTTTCATGCCTTTAATAGGCTTCAGGATATTCTTGATGGTTCCTGATTACCATATTAAAAAAAAAACAGACTCTGTAATAGTGATCCCAGCTGTATGATGGTGTGAGTTTGTTGTGCTTACAAATCCAGAGAGGCATGCCTGAAAGGCCAAGAAGGTTACTATGGGTCAGCAGCATGCCTGAAAATTCAGTTAAATACATTCACACTCTAGGCAAAGTCCTCGGGATTTTTTTCCTTTTTTTAATTGAGATTTTAATGAAAGATTATCGAGAACTTGGATTTCCATTCATTCATTGTTGCACCTTTTCCTCCCTGCTCACTCCTTCTCCTCAGTTCACTTTTCTCTTTGAAAAGAATAACAATTCTTTCATTGGTATACAATCCCCTCCCCCCTCCACTTTATGATGCAGCTCCTACTCTGGACTCTTGTCATGCAAACAATTGTTGTTGTTGTTATGTGCCATCAGGTCGCTTGCGACTCATAGGGACCCTATGTACAAGAACCCTAAATGCCATTCTATCCTGTGCCAACCTAGCCATCTCAAACACACTCATTCCCACCACTCCAACTCACAGAATCGATCCATCTCATCAAAGGTTTTCCTCTCCTGTACCGCCCCTCCACTCTGCTAAACATGATGTCCATCTCCAAGGACCAGTCCCTCCTTGCAAAATGTCCAAAGTATGTCAGACAAAGCTTCAGACTTCTTGACTCCAAGGAGTGTCAAGGAGCATTCTGGCTTCACCTTCTCCAGGACAGAGCTGTTTGTTCTCTTAGCAGTCCATGGTGTATTCAACACTCTTTTCCAATCCATATTCAACACTCTTTTCCAGCACCACAGCTCAGAGGCATCAATTCTCTTTCTAACTTCCCTATTCACTGTCCGACTCTCTGATGCATAGCACATAATTGTGAAGATTATAGCCCAGATCAGGTACACCTTAGTCTCCAGCCTGATGTTATTGCTCTTCAGGACTCTTGAAAGGTCCCTCACAGCTGACTTTCCCAATGCAATTTGTCTCTTGATTTCTTGGCTGCTATTACCAAGAGTGTTGACTGTGGAGCCAAGTAAATGAAAACTATTAACTATCTCAATTTATCTTCTTTAAACAGTTCTCTCCCTCATCTGTTTCAATGCAGTGTATATTATTTATCCCTTCTTTTTCTAATTTCCCCCCAAACTCGATGTCTGTCCTGTTTCATAACAGTGGCATTGTGCAGTATTTGTCCTTTTGTGACAGAGATATTTCACTCAATATAATGTCCTCCAGGGTCACCCATTTTTTATACTAGTTCACGAATTTCTTCAATGCTTCATAGTATTCCATTGTGTGAATATACCAGAGTTTCTCTGTCCATTCGTTTGTTGATGAGCACTTGGGTTGTTACCAC